CCTGGGAGATCTGTGGTCTATTGAATCACAAGTTTGATATAACAAGTGGTCAGCTTCTATTATCTTGTCTTCATTCATCTTGGCTTGAGCAAATAGGGAACTGCATTTTGCTTCTTAAGAAAAGCCAAGTCTCTGCCCCTGGTGTGAGATTGTGGGTCCCTCTTTGCATTCAGATACCAAAACAATCTCCTGCACCAAGAGGCGCTATCTTCATTTGGAAAAGAAGCCCAAATTATCCATGACCCTGCTCTTCCTCAGCTTTAGCTTTGCTTGAGGAGTATCTCTAGCAGTGGTACTACCAGTCCTACCTTACAACACACCCAGTCTTTTCATAACCTCAGCCCCTAGCAGAATGCACATAGGAGGCACAATAGAAATGCTTCTGGAATTGTTTGGGTTCATGCTAACAACTGTAAGCAGGGGGAGACATTTTAGAGTGGAGTGGTCTAAAAGTACTTCCGTGCTCAGGGCAGAGGTAAACCACAGCTGTGGAAGGTAATAATCAATTGTCATCTATGGGAATCTTTAGGGTCACCCAGGAGGCAGCTAGATAACTCAGCAGACAAAGAGCTGGGCCTGAAGTCAGGAAGACTTGAGTTCAAATTTGACCCATATTAGCTGTGTGACCCTGGGCAAGTCACTTATTAACCCTCAGTTTCCTCATCTGTGAAATAAGTTGGAGAAGGAAATGGCAAACTGCTCCAGTATCTTTGCCAAAAAAAACCAAATCCAAATAGGGTCATAAAGAGTCAGATATGACTGAAATGACACAACATCTATATGAATTGTTTCTATAGCATCTACAATTTCATACTCAAACAGAATCTACTTCTCTTCTGATAAGTTGAACCTGTAATTTCTCTCCTTAAACAGCATTTCACCAGAGCAATGCGGTGCAACAGGCATGGCACTCTGGGATTTCAAACAGCACAAGCCTAAATGACTAAATTCCTGATGTTCTTCCAGGGAGCAATTTCTTTGACTCTTTCCTAGGAAGAGGCTTTGCATCACTGCTCTACTGCAACATAATGATCTTCAGATGCATGGTCCCTTTGAAGGGAAAATCTTTAATAGGGGAGAGAAAAAATAAATAAAATCCTTGCTGATTTTCTCAGAGGACATGAAACTGGCAGATGAGGAAAGCAAGAGAACGTATAACCGCACTTGGAGCTGACAGCTCAAACTGAGAATTTCCTTAGCTCATTTCTTAGGTCATCTCCTCCGCCTACCCTCCCCACCCCAACCCACATACCTCAATATCACTTTTAAAGAAAATATTCCAAGTGTTTAAAAAAAATTTCCACCAAAGCTGCTTGATATATTTTCAAAAGTTGGTTTAATTTTATCCAGTTGTCACGAAGAGGAAAAAACAAGGCTCCAAAATGAAATTATTTGTCCAGGACTTTGAATCAAGTCAGAGATCAAATAAGGTAAGAAATGGAACTTTTTCTCTTGTCCCCAGGCTTACGATTTTATCTCCGTTATTCCCTTAAAATATTTTTAAAACCCAATACTAGATGCCACATCTAAATTCCTAAAGCAGAACATGACCCACATGTGTAAAAATACAAAACCAATCAAAACTCCCCTTCAGGAGACCATAAAGATTGGCTTCACAGAATCTCGAAGTGGCAACAAAGCCCAGAGGACATCTAGCACCACTCTCTAAAGTATATGGTGGCCATCTCTCCTTCCTTCCCCTATCTTGAAAATTTTCCTTCTTAGGTTGCTATTGATCTAAATTTAGATTAAGTCTTAACAATAGCTAACATTTATCTAGTTATCTAAAATTATCTAAAGTTATGTGTATATATATACATATATATATATATATACACACGCATATGTGTGTGTGTGTAATTTAAACCCTCACAACAACCTTGTAAGGAAAATGCCATTATTATTTCTATTTTGCGGAAGAAGAAACTGAGATTGAGAAAGGTAAGTTGATTTACACGAGGTTACAAAATTAGTAGGTGGCTGGGGCAGGATTTGAATTTGGGTCCTCCTGACTCCAAGTTTAGTGCTTTATTGAGAGAAAAGATTATTTCTCTCTCATTTCAATAGCCAATTATTAAAATTAAGAATATCCAAGTTTTTTTCTCTGGGCTATTTCCTTCTCCAAAACCCAGCCTCCCAAGACTGGGCTGATGGAAGATAGGATTAATATTCCTTTTATTCCACCCAACTATATCAGATTTCTAATAGGAAACTGATTTCCTGCCCATTGTGTTCTACTCAAGCTCATTTGGATGAGGTAGTTCCTCTGTCTAGGTCTAACAATTAACAGCAAGAAAACAGGTGCTCCATCAACCACCCACTACCATACCATTCATAGGTGGAATCAGCAGTTACAGGAAATAGAGAAGTTTTGAATGCTATGGATAAGCTCCCTTACTTTGGTAGTGTACTTTCAGGGATGTACAGATTGATAATGAGATGGACTTATGCATTGCCAGAGCCACCTCAGCATTTGGGAGACTCCAAAAGAAAGCATGGGAGAGAAGAGGTATTAGACTACCAAACTGATGGTATACAGGGCTGTTGTGCTGACCTCATTGTTGTATGCCTGTGAAACCTGGACAGTCTACCAGAGCCATGCAAGGAAACTGAATGGTTTCTATTTGAATTGAATTAGGAAGATTCTGAAGATCACCTGGCAGGATAAGATGCCAGACATTGAAGTCCTTTCTCAAACTACAGGGCCAAGCATTCAAACTCTACTGCAGACAGCACAACTATGATGAACTAGCCATGATGTTTGAATGCAAAATGTACGTTTGCCAAAAAGATTATTTTATGAAGAACTGACACAGGGCAAGCATTCACATGGTGGTCTGAAGAAGTGATACAAGGACACTCTCAAGGTCTCTCTTAAGAACTTTGGAATTGATTGTATGATGTAGGAGATAATGGTATAAACCACTCAGCATGGCATGTCCTCATCAGAGAAAGTTCTATGCTCTATTAGTAAAGAAGAATTGGAAACAGCTCAAAGGAAATGCAGAACGCGCAAACTTAGAGAATCCACCCCAAATGTTCACACTGAGACTATTTGTGTCCAATCTGTGGCAGAACATTCCGAGCTTGTATTGATTTAATCAGCCACAGTCAGACACATTGAAGCATGATAGCGATGTCATTTTGGTCCTCTTCAAGAACAAAAGACAACAACCAGGTTGTGCAAGGCTGTAGGTGGGCTGGGTAGAGGTAGTCCCTTTGTCTAAGAGAGACAGGATGTCACTCTCCCAGCCCCTCATTAGAATAGGTCTACCTATCATTAATTGTTAACCAATCAGAATTGATTGTCATTCTCTGGTATACTCACTTTTCAAAGGGCATACAAGCCATGATTGTGTTTGGTCTAAGAGAGATGGCCAAATGATCATTAATTTTATTAATAAAATGCTGGCATTATTAATAAAATGATTAGTTACCCAGAAATCAGATTTTTCAAACTTTTTATACATCACACTATCCACTAAAGTCTAGCGCTTCTTAAACTTTTTCCACTAGAGACCCCTTTAGCACTTGTTAAAACTTTGGGTCCAGATCCCATATGGGCAACTATAACCACCTAGCTGCCTCACAACTTCCAAATTAAACTAATTCATAGTAAGAGATTGGATTCTACTGAACCAGACACTTAAGTCCTGGTTCTAATTCTTCCCTTTTGGTGTGACCTTGGGTAAGTTCCTTCAACTGTCTGGCCAATAATTGCCTAATCTATCAAAGAAGAGTGTTGGTCTGGAACAGATCATTTCCAAGGCTCTTTCCAGCACTAAATCTCACAATCCTTTTTGATACCCTCCTCCTTTGGATAGTCATAGGTAATTCTACTTTCTTAGTTACTTGTCATACACAAGGGGAAAAAGATTTATTTCTCTAGACTTCTCTTTTTTCCTACTTTTTTCCCTGGTTCCATATTTTTTTCCTTCCATTTTTGTACCAGGCAAAAAATAAGTAAACATTTCTGGCCTCTAATTCATCCCCAGGTCTTATCATTTCTTTTTGAGAAAATCACAAGCTTTATTTCTTATAGAAAAAAACTTCCCTTTTTTCCCATTTTAATATAATACAGTCTTGAGAAATTCCATAAAAATTTAAATTCCATCATAGGATTTTGAATGGAATTTATTATTATGGTGTCTTTTAGAAATAAATTATATCAATTTATATATAATCACCTAAAACTCCCAAAATACCTCTGACAACACATTCAGCCACAATCCTCCCTTTGGCCACAATTCCAGTCTCAGTAAGAATGCTCCTCTCACTCTCATTCTTGCTTATATTTTCAGTTCCAGACCCAACCTCAATTCTAAGATCATGCTTTTCCTTTGGCCCAGTTCTCAGTCCTGACCTAACTATTTTTCCACTTTGGGCCTTTCTCCCAGAACCCTGTTTCATTCACAGTACAAGTTTTGCAACTGGGCTCTGCCCACTTGGGTCCACAACTCTTCCAATAAACCAGCTAAGCTCTGATCCTAGCCAAACTACTTTATAGAAATTAAACTTAAAGAAACTTATAGATTTAAAAGATTTAACAATAATAGAGGGGGTCAATGAGGAAAGCAATAGGCACCCCTCATCCTTTAATTACCTCTTAAGATTTGCTGATTAGTTATATGGCAGCCATACATTCTCAAGAAGTGAAGCGATTATGATTTTTATTTTTCTAAATGGATAGCAGATTAGAGTAATTCATACATACTTCAGAACTCCTGAAGATTCCCACTCATTCCCATCCATTATTGCTATATATCTATAGAGTACTTAGCAGCTGCATTGTTCTAAATAACATGCCCATTTTTTTCTGGTACATCCTAAAACTCTATGCACATAAATTCTATACACAATAAAAATTAAATCATCACTATTTTCAGCCCATCAGAAATCATTGGCACTGCCAGGTTCTGCAGAATGGTTGTCAGTGTCACTCGAGATTATCCAATAAATAGATGTTATTCTCAAATAAAAAGCAAAATATTTGCACTTACAATTTCTTCAAGACAGTAATGAATTCTTCCACCTTGTCCTTGAATTGGTGTGCAAGCTCTGCAGATGTTTGGCAATGAATGTCTCTAACATAAAAGCCAATATCATGAATGTTATCATTCATAGGACCAACTCCAGGATCTACGAAGGATGCTCTAAACAAGAAAACAAAGTAGTATTATCAAGTCCTGTTCAGATAACAATAATAAATAATAACTTTATAACCTGGAATAAGTTAGATGTATGTACATATATGTAAGATTTCATATACATTATTTCATATGTATATAAAATATGTACATTAAAACTTACATATACAAACTGCACTAAGGCTTTTGGGATACTCAATATATGTTGTTACTGTTGTTGTTGTTGTTGTTGAGTCATTTCAGTTACATCTGACTCTTTGGGACACCATTTGGGATTTTCTTGGCAAAGATACTACAGCAGTTTTTCATTTCCTTCTCCAAATCACTTTACAGATGAGGGTGCAAATGGGATTAAGTGACTTGCCCAGGGTCACACAGCTGGGCAAGATTTGAACTCTCAGGCCAGATTTGAACTCTTCTTCCTGACTCCAGGGCTCTACATATATATACTTTTTTTTGTTCCCAACTATAGCAATTGGAGGTTACCTTGCTACGTGAGGCTCTTTCTTAGATGTTCTGGCATTTTAATAATGCTTTCTTTTTTCAATATTTTAGAAGCAGCTTAGAAATCATTAATAAGGTTCTCATATAGAACTTCTAATTTTACAATTAAATGTTAAGAATCTACAATATTTTGAAATATATTGACCTTAAATATAGAGGAGGCTATGAGTAGATGAACCCATTTCAACTTCTTTTAAATAATTTTAAAGTATATATAATTGGAGGAATGCTGTGATCCAATTCCCTTAGGATTGTCTTCCCAATTAAAAGCTCCTACAAGAGCAAGAGGAATAAATAATAGTAATTTACATTAAAGTTTACAAAGCACTTTGGTGAGGACAATCTTGTGTAAGGATAGCATTTTATTGGTGAAGAAACTGAGGCTCAGAAAAGTTGAATGCCATTTATCCATGATCACACAGCAGTAAATGTCAAAGGGGTAACTTGAACTCAGGTCTAATGATTCCATATCCAACTTGCCTCTATATTTGGGTCCACAACTCTTCCAATGAACCAGCTATGCTCTAATTCTAGCCCCTATAACATGTTTCTATCTATCTTTAAAAACTGGGAGAAAAACACAAACTCTGACAACTAGAGAACTGTCATTTTAACTTTAATACCTAAGAAAATAATTACAATAAAGTTTGAGTTATCTGAAGCACACCAGTCAATAAAAACTAATTATCTTGGACTTCCAGGTCATGTAATCAACAAAATATAGAACTAGATTTTTTTTCAATCTTCATGACATCTCAAACTTCTCAAAAACAAGAATTATACATAAAACATAAAATAGTTTCAACTCTCTCCATGGGCCAGAACATCAAGAACCCTACTACGGTAACAATTCAAAGAACTAACAGCAAGAGAAGACTAATCCTTAACCCACTACCCTTCTCTCTCAGAAATCCTTCCCTGACTGCCCACTACATAAGTAAGGTTGCAAAAACTAACCCCCAGGTTTGCAACAGAACACAACTCTGCCCTCCCTCCTCTCAATGTCTGTAAAACCAAAAAGCATAATCTTACTCTGGCTGGGACAGTAGCATGGCATCCTTCCGTGCTTTAACAGGTCTTAGACACAGAACTGAGTAACAGAAGGAACTGGGGCCAGAGACACGTGTGGCTGGATGATACTCCATTAAACCTTAGGAAAACAATTCAGCATCCAGCTGGAGGCAGCACTGTCTCCTCCAAAGTCATTTGAGGCAGACGCTGAGGGCGGTAAAACATGACTTTCCCAGGAGGGGAGGAGACCAAGATGGGTTTGAGGTCCAGCCACCATGGAAACTGTAATCAAGGGGAAGGAAAAATAAAGTGAGCAATAGAGGAAAATTAAGAGGAAAGATTGAAATTATCAAAGACCTCAGTGGAAGAAGACTTAGCTGAAGACCTTAAGCATAAGCAGATAAATGGCCAGAGAAGATATCAATAATAGAAGGGGATGCAGCCACCAGATTAGCTAAGATTCCAGGCTCTCTGAATAAATACTGCAAGACAAAGGAAAAAGAATCAATACCTGATGAGTCAGGAGACCCTGTGAATCCCCAAGAGAGAATGGAAATAAAGCAGAATGTTCCTGAGTGGTTTAAAAGAGAAATAAGAATTATGAAAGCAGAATTTATGGCCTGCATAGCAGAAATAATTGGCAGAAGAGAAAAACTTGAATTCACAGCAGCAATTCTCACCAAAGAGACAAAAGAAGGACATAATGATTGGACCTGTAAATATACAGAAGTGAGGGAGGATCTAGAAAAAGAGAAGCAAAAAGGAATAATATTTAAAGAAAACATAATTACCATAAAAACAAAACAGATGAATCTGAAAGACAGAATGTGTAGAAATAACTTAAGGTTTATAGGTTTTCCAGAAGAACATGGCAAGTCAAAAAATGTGGACAGCATAATATCAGATAGAAATAATGCAAGAAAACTGCTCAGATTTCTGAATATAGAAAACAAAGGGTCAATAGAAATAATCCACAGATCACTTCCAGGAAGGAAAAAACTCTAGGCTATAACCCTTAAGACATGTAACAGTTAAATTAAATAATTCCACTGAAAAACAACAAATTCTGGAAGCTACCAGGAGAAAATCCTTCAAATATAAAGGAATGGAAACTCAAATAACACAACACTGTTTTCTACCTACCAGAAATTATAGGAGGGAGTGGAACAACATGTACTGAAGAGAAAAGGAGCTCAAGATGCAGCTTAAGATAAGCCACCCCAAAAACTTGAGCCTATCCATTAATGAAAAAAAAAATTAAAGAACATTCAATAAGAAAGAAACATTCAGAGCATTTCTAGAAAGAAAACTAGACCTGATGAAATTATTTGTTTGACAAAAAAATTCAAGAAGTGTAATGAACAAGCCTGAAATATCATGGACTAAATCTCAAAACATTCCACTTACAAGTATATCAGGGTTTTTGTGGAACTAAACTATAGAAAGGGAAGGGCATGAAAAGACAGAAGGGAGGAAAGATGTAGAGAAATATGTGATGTATCCTAAGTCAAAAGTTAACAATGAAGGAAAATAACTACTTCAATCTCTCAGGAAAATGAGATCCTACAGAAGAAGGAGTGAAGAGGCAAAAAGAGTAATTGAAACAAGTGCAAATACAGAAGAAACCTCATTTCAATGTTGGAAGGGCTATCATTGATGAACACTACCACAGGAAAAGAGAGATATTCTACAAAAGGAAATGGAGACCCTACTGGCATAAACTGTAGGGATTTGTACTTAGAGAACTCATCCTGCCCCAAGAGAAAGGGAATCAGAGCTCCTGAAAGAAACTGAAACTCAGAAGTGAAGAAGTGTATGGGCTTAGAAAGAAAGCTGCTAGTGCGGGGCGGGGCAACTAGGTAGCGCAGTGGATAGAGCACCGGCCCTGAAGTCAAAAGGACCTGAGTTCAAATCCGGCCTCTGACCAAACACTTGACACTTACTAGCTGTGTGACTCTGGGCAAGTCACTTGACCCCAATTGCCTAAAATAAAAAAAAAAAAAAAAAGAAAGAAAGCTGCTTGGGAAATCGAAGGGAGGGAAGAACAGGGAGGATAACCATGGGAAGGGCAACGGTAAATAATGAAGTACTACCAGGAACATAAGGAAATTCCTACTACATGGCAACTATTACCTGCAAGAACTGACATTTCTAAGAGTGACTCACAATAGATGAAAGGGAGGCAGGGGATAAGATTTACAAGAATCTAAAAGATCTATAAATTGTTTAGAAGAGGAAACCCATAATAAACACTCAAGCACCTTTACCTTTACTTAAGGAAGGCTTAATTCCATGAGAAGTACAGAGACTGAAAAAGGACTAAATAAATATAGACTATGAATCAAAGGAAAAAAAAAGTCTAGAAGAGACAGAAGTGGAAGATAAATAATGAAGCGAATGAGAGAAAGAAATCCTGTTTTAGAAAAAAGGGCCAAAATGAAATTTTCAAAACTAATGAATGAAACAAGTTGAAGGAGAGGAGAGTAAGACATATTTTAATTGACTACTTAAATGAGAGGGGGGAAAGGTGAAGAATTATATAAGTAGGTAAATGAAAGAAGGAAAAGGAAACTACTAAGTTAAATAAAGCTCCAAAACTAAGGAAAGAGAAAAACAAATAGAAAAAGAGGTGTTGACTCTGAGAAAGAGAGCCAGTGGGAATAGGTCTGCATTCAAGTACATTAAATTAAAACAAATAGACAAAATACTTTGTTTGCAGAGGAAACAGGAACAAATTCTAATTTTTAAAAAATTGTCACAAGGGACCTGTGAACAATTAGATCTCTCCTTAATTATTTCCTCCCCCCATCCTTAAATCACTATCACTTTTCTCCTTCTGCCAACCATCAGAGGTCACCATCATGTAGACCTCAGAGATATATATTTTTTGGCTCTGGACAATTCAATGTTCATACTTCAAGCTACCCTCACCAATGAAGTTAGAATATTTAATCATTTTTAACTTCAAACTATTTCCTACTTTTCTTTTATTTTGTTGTGTTTTTTTTTCTTTTCATTCACTCATGAAAGAAACATTTAATATGTACCTCTTGTGTTCAGAAATCTCTTTTAGGTATGAAGAAAATACAAAAGCTAGATAAGAGAAGATCCCTACTCTCCTAAAATGTACAGCCTATTTAAGGTGAAGTAATACAAACATAAATTGTTATTATGCCCACTATTCAATTCAATTCAGTAACATGTATTAAGCATTGGAAATCTGTGTCATAAGGGGAAAGTTATTGCCAGTTTTGTGGCAAGAAGAAAGAAAAAATAGATGAAGGAAGTCAACATAGAAGAGACAGTATTTTGCAGAATAGATTTTAAATGATAGGTAGGAATTGAACAGACTAAAATGGTGTAAAGGGTACTTCAGCCATTGAATATTATGTCAGCAAAAGCAAAAAAGTATACTACATGTTTGGCATAGATGAGAGAAATATGAGATTACCCTGGAAAGGTAGGCTGGTATCTGATCATTAAAGGTTTTC